TGGAATGAATAGTTTTACAAACTCATAGTCAAAACCCACTGAAAGCCAACAAAATATAACAATATGAGCTTTCATGCTGACCTGTATCAAAAAATTATGAACAAATTGTCAATGAAACTATAATGAATATCTATTGGTCTAGAATCATGATGTTAATACTATTTTAATTTTATGAACCTAAATACTTTTACTCACTCATAGTTTTATGAGTGTAAATACAGCAATATTCAAGTTTAAGTTTCTCTTTATTTCAAGTTTCTGCAACATGTGGATAGACTACAAGTTTAATAGCATTACTAGCCTAGACTATTGTTTAGTAATGTAACCTTTCTCTTAGACTTGCAGCAAAAGCTGAACGAGACAGAAAGCTGTTCAGATTATGAGCAGACAATTACAGGTGAGTGCAATCTTTGACTTGCTGTTCTTTCTCAATACAGAAAACTGTTCTCTGTGATCAGCACCCATAATAAATGTCTCTGTGCAGATCTGCAGCAAAACCTGAATGACAAAATCAAGGAGCTGCAGTCCAAATCGAGCTCTGTTACTTCACTTGGTGAGTGTTGAATCTGTTAGCTGTACTGTATTAATATGCTCCATCTTCCACCATCCAGTTGATCATATTTAACCAATTTATTTCTGATCTCGGTGAAATGATTTAAAAAGGGAAGATATTAGAAGCCGTTAAGAAGCTCACAGTGTTGCAACACTTGATACAATACAGGACAATAATAAATAATACATCATGATACATGTAGGTATATTTACTGATTAAAAACCCTGAAAGACCATAAGAATAACACCAAGATATTTACCGCATTGTGCATCATCATTAGTGGTGCATGCCTAATAGTACACAATGATAGTGCTATATTAATGTTTGCCATGTTTGTGCACTTGGCCAACAGATATAATCATTTTGAGCAAAGTTTTCTTTTTTAATGCTTGGTGGTTGGCAGGCATGCCTAATTCAGCTCTGTGGCTAAATAATGCTAACGTGCTTTTTGCTTTGCTCATGTATGGCACAGAGATGTGTGGTTAGTTTCTCATCATTCTTAACATTTTTGTTATGTGACTGTATATAGTCATATTTGGTTTCTAAAAAATTCTTACAAAGAGCAAAAAAAATATAAACATAATATACCATTAAAAATGATATTTGTATTCTTTGGAGACAACATAGTCAATGAATAAGTTGCCCTAAATTATTAAGTAAAAAAGTAAGCTCTTACGTTGTTTTGAGATGATGAGTTTGCATAATTTCTTTAAGTTCTGAGAACTTGGATGATTATTCGGTGTACATAGTACGTTCAGTTTTAAAAACAAACAGAACCTGACCTGTAAAGCTTGGGTTTGACATTTACGTGGACTACTGTAATATTGGCATGGCCCCTGACTATCACAAAAACGTACACGTGAAAACTGTAGCTTTAAAAGAGAGACTTAAGGAGTATAGCAAATGTATTGATATCTTTGGTCAAAAAAATGTAAGATCCAAATTGTAATATACAATGTACACTACAGCAGGAATGATTAACAACAGCCACAAAACATTTTAAACTAAAAATGTAGTTTTTCATAATATTTAGCAGTAATGGTGCTATGGTTCCTGCAGTCCTCATGGTCAAATGTCTTCAGCATTACCATTGTCTGCTCATGCTGATTTTTAAGGATTTTATTTCTAATTATTCATTCCTCGTGTAGTGGTGACTTGAACAAATTTTCATGACCTCTGAGTGACGTACGGGTGACATACACAGAAAGAGGCAGGTGAAGCAAATGGAAAACGTGATATTGGGGTGGGAAATGGAAGAAACATAATACATATGAAAATCCAAAAAATTTGAATGTTTTCTTTAAAAACATATATAGATGTTAATGATTGATATGACGGCATTTGTGCAATTATTATAGAGACATGCTATTATTCTGGAATGGAAATAAGGATGTTTTCACAAGGTGTTAAAGCTGCATAAAACCTAAAAACAGGTCATTTTAGCCCATTGCAGGGTTGTTTGCAGATTTTAATGTTGTGTAATAAAAATGCTTTTATGTGGTCTTACAGGTGCATAATTGCAAAGAAAGGGACACTTAAGTCCTTTGCTAGGTGGTTGATTGGCAATATGATGAGGCCAAAATATCTGATAAGTTAGAACCTTCAGGAGCCTGAGATGTATTTGTATGCTAATTTTTATTGCTTAGTTCCAGATGGTCTAGTTTGCAGTCAAAGAAACAAACACACAGACAGACAGAGCATTTTAATATATTAAAGAAAAAATGGGTTTTAATAATGTGTCACTAATATAAACTGTCTCCCTGACTTGTTTCATCACACTCTCAGTGTTTTATTATCACTTCCTCACAGTTAATGAGTTTGTGGTGAAGCCAACCTGAGAGAGATGTAATGTAGACACTAAAGCTGGTGAGCAAGAATGTCATACTAAAGAGGATGGTTCTTTTAAATACAGGGGGGGGCGAGCGAATCAGAAACCCCGGGCACAATGATGAAGCAGGCCTGATCAGAAACAGTTTATTCCCGAGACAGACAGTAGGAATAAAACAACCCAAATACTAATAAGAAAAAAGTATACAATAAAATGTTATTAATATACTAAAATCCCCCAGGAATAAAAAAAACTCACTTCAAAAACTGCTAAAAATATAATTCTCTGCATGCACTAAAATCCCATCCGGTTCCCTGATGTAACTGTCCACAGTCCAGGATGAATGTTTGTTAGGTGTTCATGAGCTGGACAGAAATTCCCTTTGCGGAGGGGGGTCCACGCCAGCCTCGTCCCAGGCTGACGGGGAGGAGCCTCCCCATATGGAAAAGAAATAGTAAAAACTTATAAAAGACTTGCATAAGATGTGGCCTACTTCATATAGTGAATCATATAAGGCTTATAAGATTTACTCATGAAAGTGGCCACTTTCATATATTGTTTTAGTAAGTATCCAAAACATACAAGTTTCATTTATACAATTTTTCAAGGGATCTTACATCTGTTTTTACTCTTGTATGCTTTTCATACAAGTTTCACACAAGACAGATGCAAACTTTATAAGATTTATACATATCTTTTCCATATGGGTCTATCCCCCTCTCGTCCTCTCACTGGGCCCATCACACACTGGCGTCCGTCGCTCGATACCACCGCGGCTCCACTTGCGTCATCGCCCTGTAAATAAACAAATAGGTGCCAGAACCATCGTCCCGGAAGCGGCCCTGGCTTATAGCCATGGCAACCCTCTGCCAACACGGCTGCACCCAGTGAATGACAGTGGAGACACTACTCACAAATGTAGGCAGAGGTATACCTCTCCCCTGCTACTAATCACACACGTTGTCTCCTACTGTCGCCGTTCCTGCTGTCGGGACTGGGTCGCCATGTCACGCTGACTGGTCCATCTCCAGATGAGGCACCGCACCCCCACGATCAATCAGCGGGTCCCTCTTTTTCTCCTGGCCTTCGCGCGTTCCTCCTTATATCTGGGGCCTCTCTCCTCCAGTATCCAGCTAGCTTCCTTTTAATAGGTGTTTAGACAGCTGATAGGCCACCTCTGGACACACACACATGCCTCAGCAGGTGATCCAGCTAATTTGCCCCATGCTCAGCCTGTCCAAATATAAAGTGTCCTAGCTGGTATTCACAAAATTTCTTATATGGATCATAGTTGTTAAAATCAGAGCCTTTGCTAAAAACACAACTTACATTGGGCACATGCACAGATGTTGTGCACATTTTCATGTGTCTTAGATGAGAACAGTGAACGCTGATGTTTATTCTGACTGATTCTTTCAGCTCTACAAATTTCTACATTAACTCAGCAAGTGGAGCAACTGAAAGCACAAATGAACAACTCTGTGTCCAAATCCAAGGTTGATGGTGAGTGTGTTTCATTGTCAAGTCAAGTAAGCAGCGCTACTGGGGTCCAGTATTCACATGGTGTACATTAAAGGGTTGTTGTACAGCTTTAATATTAGCTAAATAAATATTTACATTTACGCATAAATCCCCCCCAAACAAAGTTTTGTCTGATCTGCAGAGCTCCAAAAAGCCATAGATGGAAAGAACGAGGAGCTGGACAAACTAACAAAAGAGCTGAAAGAGAGAAGTACTCAACCACGTAGACGTGAGTACAAACAACCTGCTGAAAGAATCCAGATTACTTACTCAAGTACAAATACTTATCAGTGTTCCAACCTTCTTTCAGTTCTGCAGATTATTGCACTGCAAACAGAAATCGAGAAACTGGACACTGTGGCTGAAAATGATAGAGATGAGGAGAAGATTAAAGGTGAGTGACATATCTTATCTGCGTAAAGTAACAAGTGTAAAGCAAAAATAGGATCATTTCTGTTTTGTTTTTTCTTCTTGAAAAAATCATCTTTTTTTCCCAGTACTTCAAGGAAAGCTCACTTATTTGATTGATGGAGTTAAAGATGAACAGGGTGAAAACATTAAGCTGAGTGAGTAACAGTAAGAGTAAAATACTTCCCTCACTCTCTTCTTGTTATATATGCATAAACCTTTTTTGTAGCATTTCAGATCTTGAATCAGCAAGCTGAAATAGCAAGACTGAAGAAGGAAGAAGAAAAGAAGAATCAGGCACAAGAAGCAAAAATTAAAGGTGGGCTCTCCTCAAATGCGATCATAGTAATACTACAAATATTTAAGGACATAAAACATCACTTTTGCCTATTTTTGTAGATCTGGAGAATCAACTGGAGGCCATGAGAAATCAGAGAAACACAAGAAGTGGTATGAGTTCAGTCATGAGTTCTGGTTCAGTCAGCAACAAGGAGTGAAATATCAAACAGCATCCGAGTCCATAACGTTTGTGTTTTGTTTTAGCTGCTCAGATTATGGAGCTTGAAGTGCAAATTAAAGAACTGGAAGATAACATAGCAGCCCTCAAAGAGGCTCATACTGAGAGCCTTGCAGGTACAGAACAAACTTTGAAATGTATATTGCATGAAGTAACCTGTATATTAAGCTAATGGTTGTGTTTATTAATCTCAACTCACTTTCAGACCTTCAAAGGAGACTAAAGTTGAAAGAGAGGCAGCTGGATGACACTGAAAGTCAACTTGAGCATATAGATGCAGAGAATTATAAATATGGTATGAATATTGTTGAATTTGCTTTTTGGTGTCATGCTGTTCATGTCCTTTTAGTACGATATAATATTCCAGTTTTTTGTATTTCCACTAGTGATGGAGATTGCTGATCTGAGGGTGAAACTGAAAAAGGCGGTGACGCAGACATCTGACAAAAAAATCAAAGGTTTGGGATTTTTGCAGTCATTTAACAATTTAGTGCATGTAGAGTCAGTCTCATAAATATTTTGAAGACCTGCAACACATTTCTGCTTGATCTTAAATCCTGTTTAAAAGTACTTTTTTACTTTCTTTGTCAGACGTGGAGAAGAAACTAGAAACACAAGAAGCTGAGAATAAAAAACTTGAAGCTGCAAACAAAGGTTTGTATTTTATTTTTGTTGGGCGACCGTGGCTCATGGGGTTGAGAAGCGTATCTGTAACCGGAAGGTCGCCGGTTCGATCTCCGGGTTCTCTGTCCTGGTCGTTGTGTCCTTGGGCAAGACACTTTACCCTACCGCCTACTGGTGTTGGCCAGAGGGGCCAGATGGCACGATATGGCAGCCTCGCTTCTGTCAGTCTGCCCCAGGGCAGCTGTGGCTACAACCGTAGCTTGCCTCTACCAGTGAGTGAATGAATAGTGGCATTGTAAAGCGCTTTGGGTGACTTGAAAAGCGCTATATAAATCCAATCCATTATTATTATTATTATTATTTAACTCTTATAGTATAATGCAACAGCTCATTAGCTTAGCTTAGCACACAGACTACAATTAAAACCCTTCTGAGGCCCTGGGACCATTTTTGTACATTTTAGTTTTTCAGTTACAAGTTTGGTATAATTTCATTTCAAAATTCAAGCCTGACTTCCTTAAATTAGCTTCAGTGGCTAAGCTAACAATACACATCCTCTTAATGAGCAACAGCTCGCCTGGATTTATCTGCTTACTTCTATTTTCCAACTCTGTTTGGCACATATGGATTACAGTAATTGTTGAACATGAGCAGAATAAGTGTGACATGTAATTCCTTTGCAAGGCTTTTGCTGTAGATTAAACAAATAAAGTAAAACATGTTAATTTGTCTTTAGGAATCATGTAGTTAGCTTTAGGGAGGCTAGCTGTTTCCCCTTCTTTCCAATCTTTATGGTAAGCTAACATTCACATTAAATAGCATTTTATATCTTGAGATAAAAATTTACAACATAATCTTTAGCCCCTTATAGTACCGGTATCTACTCGGATCAACTTGTCACGGTTTTCAGAGTTTTCCATTAGCTTAATTACCTTCAGTCATGGCGAGCCCATCCCAGTAGAGACTAATGGAAAAGGCACTTTCAGTCCTTTTAATTTGTTTTGAGTAAGTCCTCCAGATCTCTTTTTTAAAAAGACAAAGACACAAATTAGGGGGTTTTTTTCTGAATATATCCATCATATTAAAGAGTTTTGTGCAGAGATCCAATTTTAGTTGTTTGTTTCTTTTGATTCAGAGTTGGAGAAAAAACTGCAATTAAAGACTCAAGAATGCTCTGGACTCGAGCAACAACGAAACCGTAAGTTGTAAATCTGACTTCAACCTGAAAGTGTCTGAGCCTGAGTTTTTGATATGACTGTTTTTTCTTTTTTTCTTTTTTTAATCAGAGCTGAAGACTGAAGTTGAAGATAAGATTGCAGAACTGAACAAGACAAAAGACTTCAAAACTGCTCTGCGTGAGTGCGGTGCAGTTAAAGTCTCTCTTGTTTTTTTTTGCTCACATCCTCACATTATATTTCAGAACTAATCTGTGCCGTCATATCTGCTCACGTTTGTCTCTGTTAGTCCTGAATGTGATCAACATGAAGGCTGAAGTGAGGGCTTTGAAGGAGCAGATCTCAAACTCAAAAGATCCAGAAATCATCTCACGTGAGTATCAGCTGTCATAGTCAGCACACTTCCTGGAGGAAAAATGTGAAACAAATATGACCTCAAGTCATATATCTGTTTCTCTCTGCTTCCCCACAGAGCTGCAGATGCAACTGGAGAAGAAGCAAGATGAACTGATTACTAAGACTGCAGAAATGGAGGACTTGCTTGCCAACCCGAGAGTGGGTGAGTGCACTGCTGTACTCTGTGATCAACACTGTTTAAACAGTCTGACAACCCGCTGCCTATTATTGCAACACTAAGCCTCTGGGGGCAATTGACAACATTTGGTCCAAACCATAGTTTCCATGTGATGTCAGAGCTACTGGGACATGCCCACCTGGTGGACAAAACAGTACAGTGGCCCTTTGCCCTCCAGCCATCCTTTGATTATCTTCAAATTTAACTTAGCCAAAATGCAGCAAAACGTGAGCACACCTCTCCTAACCACACCTCACAGTCCAAATCACACAAATCCCTGCTTCTCCACTGAAATCCGGACTGTCATTGGCAGTCATTTAAGAGGAATGATTTACCTGACACTGGAAAACTACTTTGTTAACTTTAATGTTATATTATGACAATAATATGACATATTAATACTACTAGAACTTTTCTGGCTCTACACTGTAAATGTCCAGGTCAACAAAACATAAGATTTACGCATGGTACTTTGTTTAAGCTAGCTATATAGCATTTACCTTTGCTTTAAAAATAAATTTATTGTTCTTCAGCTCCCACACGATGCCATTATTTACCCATCCTGACTGAAAATACATGTAGTCCCTTGGTTTGGATATGTTAACTGCTGTGTCTTAAGAAGCATCACAGTTGAAAAACTGGGATACTTTTTAATGGTTTCATAAAGAATTTGCTCACCTGTCGCATCTGTCTCAAAATACTGTGTAAGCACAGTATATTAACAATCAGAAAACAGCACTTGGTGATGGTGGAAAGGAAAAACTTCCTTTTAACAGGAAGAAACCCCTGGCTGAATCAGGCAGAGGGGAAATCATCTGCCATTACCGGATGAGGATAAGGAGAGGGAGACAGAACAATAACTAATCATTAAATGCAAAGTGGGATATAAACACAGAGAGCAAAAAGGTGATTCGGGTTAGTGAAGATGAAACACTAGCAGCTTCAGCATGTTGCAGTGTAACTGCTCAGAGTCATTTGATCCAGCCCTAACTATAAACTTTGTCAAAAAGGAACATTTCACAACCAAACCTTACCTGTCATTCATCAGATGTTTGTTTGTTTCAGTTTTACAAATCGTTGAGCTCCAGAATGAGATATGGGACCTGCAGAACAAGGATGTGAATGGGACAGCTGGTGACCGGATAAAAGGTACTTTAAGGTTTAAGGTGCTGATTGAGGGTGACACAAAGTCATAGTAGATGACTAAATGTTATTAATACAATTCACTGTTTTTTG